CCTCGCAGGAAACTCGTTCAACTGGCCTGAGATGATGCATTGGCATTGGGACTTAAAAAAATTTTTTTTAATGTTTTATTTATTTTTGAGAGAGAGAGAGAGACAGTATAATTGGAAGAGGGACAGAGAGAGAGAAAGACTCAGAATCTGCAAAGCAGGCTCCAGGCTCTGAGCTGTCAACACAGAGCCCGACGTGGAGCTCGAACTCATGAACCACAAGACCCGAAGTCGACAGTCGACTGACTGAGCCACCTGGGCGCCTTGGCCCTGGGACCTTTAAAAGCTCCCCAGTGATTGTGATGTGCAGTGAAGGCTGAGCCACTGCTTACACTTCGACGGCAGCCACGCTGAGCCGTGAGCTGCCCTGAGCCTTCAGCGGGCTCGGGGGAGGGCGGCCTTCCTGGGGCACGGCTGAACCTATGTAGGGGGTTTCGCCACTTTTCATCTTCATTTTGGCTACATTTGTGGGTTAGACTGGTGGTCAGGTCAAATAATTTTCCTCCATCTTCGCTGTGTTCCGGCTGACCCTCTCGGCTTTAGAGGTTTTAACTAGGTGAGCAGGTCTCTAAATTAGACTTGAACTTGTCTCTCTGTATCCCTCTTCCAATATTTTTCCCATCAAAGAGGTTAGGCCCAGCAGAAATGTTGGCTAGTCAGCCAGTTAAAGATGCTTAAAAGGTAGTGTATTTTCCAGCTTTAGTTTTGATTCATTGCTTCCCTAGACCTTTTTCAAGTTTTCCACAAACTCTTGATGAGTCGTCAACATGTTGCGGGCAGTAACTTGTGCCGTGTGCTAATGGAAGGGTCAAGCGTGTCTGTGATATTCCTTTTAATTTTACAAGGAATGTGTAACTTTGGTGCAATAGTGACATGTGAGGGATGGCATCAAGCTGTGAAAAAACTCACTGTCTTTCTTATTTCTTTCTATGATACTCCTTTTTTGAAAAAAATGTTAAAGAGGCTCCTTATGAATAATATGACATTCCTTTTAATTTTGCACGGAATGTGTAACTTTGGTGCTGTAGTGACATGTGAGGGACGGCATTAAGCTGTGGAAAACAACGCTCACTGTTCTCACTGGAGAACAGATGGTGGGTTTGACTGTGGGGGCTGCTGGGTCGCTTGCTATTCGTGGCAGAGTGAAGACGGTTGTTTTCTGAAGGACTGTGTGGATTTCCACGTGTCTGGTTGCAAATCTTTTCCTTGGAAGGCCGGTTGCCCCGTTCATGCATAGGAGGACGGACTGGTGTGTTTGGTTGTGCGGAGCGCCAGTTAGCCTCACCTCTTCTCCGGCTTTCGCTCCGGGAAGCCGCCCTGCAGCCTGGCCTCTGGCTTCCGGTGGGGATGGACCTGCCGGGGGTGCTGCTCAGGAGCCGAGTCCCCTGCGCGCAGGCTCCACTGAAAACGGATTACTGCCTCTTCACTTACAAAAGACAGAGGCTGGTATAAAACAGTAGTTGAATAGGTAGCACATATATGTGGCTTAAATATTCAAAAAGCACAAAATGGTAGATGATAAAGAAAAGTCCTGTCAATATCAGCTGTACTGAATCATATTGATACTACGTACCTTGCTACCGTGTGATGAAATTGGCATTCGCTTCGTGGTTTTCCTTCCCTGAATTCCTAACACCTGTCTAATCATGAGGAAAATTCCGTTAGAGGAATTTCCTACAGAGTACTTGACCATCATTCCTCAGAGCTGTCACTGTCATCAAAAACAAGGAGAGTCCAAGAAACTGTCAGAGACAAGCGGAACCTGAGGAGACATAACTAATGTGGAATCCTGCATGGGATCCAGGGACAGAAGAGGGACAGTAGGTAGAAACTTTAAAAACTCTGAATAAATTGTGGACTTTAATAACCGTGCATCAGTACTGGTCTCATGAAATGTGGTGCAAGTACCGTACTCATGTAAGGTGTTAATAATGGGGAAACTGAACGTCAGGTATATGGGAAACCCTCTGCACGATCTTCTCAATTTCTTTGTGAATCTAAAATGGTTCCAAAAAAATGACGTGTTTTTAAAAAAGTCGTCTTCCTTCCCTGAACCTCTAGTATCCTGGTCCAAATGGAACCATTTCTTGCCATCTGCTTGTGACTCCTTTGAGAGAGATTTTATGCCAATATAAACATATGTATATCCCTCTTTTCCTTTTTTTCTTCCTAAAAAAAAAAGACAGTGGCAACATACATACATAGTAATATTTCACTTAAGCAAATATTTGGTGAGGTTTCCGGATTGCTTCATATATTCGATGCCGTTCATGGTATTTCACTGTACGAAGTCGGCCTCCTGTCGGACGGCTGCGTTGTCTGGGTGACTGCGGCGTGTTAGGGTCCAGCCCCAACACGTGGAACAGAGTTAGGAGGTGGGAGTTGGGGCTGGGGATGGGGGGACGGGAACGGCCAAGTTTTATTTTGGTATTTAGTTGGATTGAACTATTTATTCATTTACTACCTCCACTTATCTCCAGAAGAGGATTTAAGGAGACGGTCTCCTGTGTAGTTACTGAAGTACATGTGGCGAATACTTGGGAGATGCCTCCTGTGTGCTCATCATGATGCTGGGCGATACAGAAACCCGGAAGGCCCAGGCCCAGGTCTTAGCTCGTGCCGAGGGACAGCCCGAAGAACGTGCTCGGATTCCTGCAGTCTGGGCGAACGCCGGGTGACAGCCTGCTGCGGGAAGACAGGGGAAGTGGCTGTACAGGATTTGAGTTTGAGACGTCACTCCACATGAGCTCAGGAAAGGGAGTCGAGGTTTGTGGTTGGCTTGGATGGTTTTTGTCGCCAAGAGAAGGGAAGGCCCTCATTTCTCTCCTACTCGTATCTGGAGTCAGAGACGTGATGTTTGTAGAGTGGACGTAACTGGCTTCTACTCCGAGTCAGCCTCTGGGCAAGTGTCCGCTAACTCCCTTGGAGGTGTGAGCAGAGTCCTCAGTGGCAGGATAGCCTCTGTGTCACTGTGCATTCAGGAAAGGTGTTGCCTGCTGTGCTGAAGCTCCTGTACATGGCTGTGAAATTACTGGTGACTTAAAAACAGTTTTTTAATGTTTATTTTAGAGAGAGGGACAGAGCACGAGCGGAGGAGTAGAGAGAAAGGGGAGCACAGAGAAAGTAGAGAGAGTGAAGGAGGCTCCGAGCTGTCGGCACAGAGCTCGACCCGGCGCTCCAGCCTGTGAACCATGAGATCATGACCGAGCCCAAGTCGGAGGCTTACCCGACAGCCCCCCAGGCGCCCCTCGGTTTTCTCCCTGAGGAGCGGTCATGATCTAAAGGGAAAGGAGAAGACGGGCAGGGAAAGGGTGCGGCGTTGTGCTTCTCGCTGGCCCCTTTTCGTGACAAAGCTGCCTTGCTCTTCCTTGTCTGGCTTCAAAGACTGGCTCTCTTTTGTTTATTTAATTATGTATTTATTTTTAATTACAAAATAAATACGTGATCACATTTCCACAAGATAATTCAAACACTCTTTGCCTGGATTCCAAACGATTCCTGTCCACAGAAGGAACCATTCATTACTCTTCCATCTGGCTAAATGTAGTGCTTGTGTGCGCGTGCATGTGCGTGTGTGTGTGTGTGTGCGTGCGTGTGCGAGTGTGTGACATTAATGATATCCTACAAAATTCGTCATCCTCTCATTTGATTTGCTTGTTTCGTCATGTGTAGTAGAGGGTATTTCAAGTCACACCGTATTGATTGACCTCACTCCGTTTCATGCTGTGACAATTAGTTCAGCCTTTCTGCTGCTGTTGGCCTTCTCGGTTGTTACCACTTTGGGTTTATTAGTGCAGACAGTGCTGCACTGACCCCCTTGCTCGTACATTGGTGGGGGGTTGCTAGGTTACCAAGAAGTGGGGTTGCTACTCCTAGGACTTGAGGAGTTTAAATTTTGCCAGACGCTGCTGACACACTGTCGTGTGAGGAAAACAAGGTGTAGCTTTGAATGGACAACATAATGTCATCTCTGTTGGAAGAAAAGCCCAGCGAGGTCACAGGGACATACTATAGTGACTAGCCTGGTAGTAGTTGAAAACTGTGGTAAGAGTAGTAGACTTGAGAATGATGCTCAGAGGGACTTCGGGCTTTTCAGTGACATTTAGGTTTTTATAATGAGAATGTGTGCATGTGTACTATTTGAGTTAAAAATAGTCACCAGTAAAAATATAAAGATGTTTGCATGATTTATATCTACTTTATGTCTCAGGCATAGGATAGTCCCTGTTTTCAACCACATCCCGACCATTTAAAAATTCTGAGAGGCGCCTAGATGCCTCAGTTTATGGAGCGTCTTACTCTCGATTTCGGCTCAGGTCATGATCCCAGTGTCGTGGGATCAGGCCCCTAGACTTGCTCTTGTGCTGAGCAGGGAGTCGGCTTGAGATTCTCTCTCTGTCCCTCTAGCCCACTTGCACACTCACTCTCTTTCTCAAAAAAGAAAAAAAAAAAAAGAAAAATTTTGATCATGTATTAAGTTGTGGAAAAAATCAATATATTTCGGGGCATTTGGGTGGCTCAGTTGGTTAAGTGTCGAATTCTTGGTTTTGGCTCAGGTCGTTATCTCAGGGTTTGTGAGTTTGAGCCTTGGAATTCCCCTGCCCCATCCCTACCCTACCCTGTTTATGTTCGCTCTCTCTCAAAAGAAACTGTAAAAAAAGTTCTTTTAATCAATATATTTCAAAAAGTAGAATTAAGTGACAGTAGGTGAGGGTTGCATTCTTTGGCCACTATTATTCCAATAAGTGTTTCCACATTGGGTTTTCTAGATTTTATAGTAAAAACCTATTTGTTATTGTAGCTTTTTTAAAAATAATATTTAGATTCTGGTACAAGTGCCTAAAATGTTAGAAATTGTTTGCTATTGGCCTTAATACCCTTTCATGTTAAATAGAGAATTTAAATATTGCCAGTGTTATGTGAATACAGAGAGCAGTTGCTTAAATTATGTGACTTCAAAGAAGAGGTGTTTTTTAATATGTAACTTTTTTTTTTTCTTAAAGAGACGTGAAAGCTGGAAACATTCTTCTTGGAGAAGATGGCTCGGTCCAGATTGCAGGTAATGAGTAGTATTTCTTTTGATTTTGGTTTAGGGGTCAGTAGAACCACCTGACTTCCCACTCAGGTTCCAGAGCCAGCGTTCTCCTGTGGTCCCTGGACTGTCCCTAGTCAAGCAGCCTGTGTCGGCGCATCCCTGCTCACTCTCAGATCCCACTACTCCCCTGCAGCTTTGATTTTAGACATTTTTCTGTCCATCACTCATTACGTTCCGGTCATCACTCCTTACCCTCAAAGAGCCATCTCTCTCTTTTCTTTTTTTTCTTAGTTTATTATCAAGTTGGTTTCCATCTAACACCCAGTGCTCATCCCCACAAGTGCCCTCCTCCTTGCCCATCTCCCCCCTTCCCCTCTCCCCCCCCCATCAGCCCTCAGTTTGTTCTCATCATTCAAGAGTCTCTCATGGATTGCCTCCCTCCCTCTCCACTATTTCCCCTTCTTCTCCCCCATGGGCCTCCCTTATGTTTCTCCTAATCCTCCTATACGTGCAAACATATGGTATCAGTCCTTCTCTGCCTGACTTATTTCGCTCAGCAGAACACCCACAAGGTCCATCCACGTTGCTACACATGGCCAGATTTCGTTCTTTCTCATTGCCATGTACTATTCCGTCGTATAGATAAACCACTTCTTGATCCATTCGTCCGTTGATGGACACTTAGGTTCTTTCCATGTTTTGGCTATCGTTGAGAGTGCTGCTGTGAACATTGGGTCCATGTGCCCCTATGCATCAGCACTCCTGTATCCCTCGGGTAAATTCCTAGCAGTGCTATTGCTGGGTCTAGGGAAGTTCTATTGTTAATTTTTTGAGGAACCTCCACACTGTTTTCCAGAGGGGCTGCAACAGTTTGCATTCCCACCAACAGTGTAGGAGGGTGCCTGTTTCTCCACATCCTCGCCAGCATCTAGAGTTCTCTAATTTGCTCATTTTAGCCACTCTGACTGGCGTGAGGTGGTATCCCAGTGTGGTTTTGATTTGTATCTCCCTGATGAGGAGGGACGCTGAGCATCGTTTCATTTGTCTGTTGGCCATCTGGATGTCCTCTTTGGAGAAGTGTCTGTTCATGTCTTCTGCCCATTTCTTCACTGGATTATTTGTTTTTTGGGTGTGGAGTTTGGTGAGTTCCTTATAGATTTTGGATAGGAGCCCTTTATCTGATACGTCGTTTGCAACTCTCTTTTCCCATTCTGTCAGTTGCCTATTAGTTTTATGGATTCTTTCCCTTGCCATGCAGAAGCTTTTTATGTTGATGAGGTCCCAATAGTTTATTTTTGCTCTTGATTCCCTTGCCTTTGGGGATGTGTCAAGTAAGAAATGGCTGCAGTGGAGGTCAAGGAGGTTGTTTCCTGCTTTCTCCTCTAGGGTTTTGATGGTTTCCTGTCTCACGTTCAGGTCCTTTATCCATTCTGAGTTTATTTTTGTGTATGGTGTGAGAAAATGATCTAGTTTCATTCTTCTTGTGCATGTTGCTGTCCAGTTCTCCCAGCACCATCTGGTAAAGAGGCTGTCTTCTTTCCATTGGATACTCTTTCCCCCTTTGTCAAAGATTAGTGGGCCATACATTTGTGGGTCCAGTTCTGAGTTATCTGTTCTATTCCATTGGTCTATGTGTCTGTTTTTTGTGCCAATACCATGATGTCTTGATGAGAGCTTTGTAGTAGAGGCTAAAGTCTGGGATGGTGATACCTCCCATTTTGGTTTTCTTCTTCAATATTACTTTGGCTATTCGGGGTCTTTTGTGGTTCCATACAAATTTTAGGGTAGTTTGTTCTAGCTTTGAGAAGAATACTGGTGCAAGTCTGGTTGGAATTGCATTGAATGTGTAGATTGCTTTGGGTAGTAATGACATTTTAACAATATTTATTCTTCCAATCCATGACCATGGAATGTTTTTCCATTTCTTTGTGTCTTCTTCAATTTCCTTCATAGGTTTTCTATAGTTTTCATCATACAGATCTCTTATATCCTTGGTTAGGTTTATTCCTAGGTATTTGATGGTTTTTTTGTGCAATTGTGAATGAGATCGGTTTCTTGATTTCTCTTTTTGGTGCTTCATTATTTGTGTATAAAAATGTAATCAATTTCTGTACATTGATTTTGTATCCTGTGACTTTGCTGAATTCACAGATCAGTTCTAGTAGCCAAAGAGCCATCTCTTATGCATTCTCCCAGCATCCTGTGCTTTCCTTTGAAGGAGAGGAAGTCAAGAAACCTCAGTGCTTGTGAAGTGACGTGATGTAGAGAAGGGACACGGAGCTGCTTCTGTCCTGGGCTGGTTGGGGTACTTGCCAATTAAGAGGAGTCTGAGAGGTGGAAGTGCACTTTTGGCAAATTCAGGGCTGGAGATGAGAGTTCGGGTCCAGGACCATCCACAGCTAGCTCTCCTCGTGAACTGCCCCCCAGGGCAGCCATACTGCAGGCCGTACGTCTGAAGAGGCCCTGGCTTCGGCCCGCACTGCCACCGCCATGCTAGGTGTTTGGCGGGAGGAAGATACTCACCCAGACCATAACTCATTTCTTCAGCTTTAGAAGATAATTTAAGTGCACATCTTCCTTCATGTCCCAACCTAAGGAAGTATTTTTACCAGGCCACATAATGCTCTAACATAAAAGAAAAGGGGTGCCTGGGTGGCTCAGTTCGTTGGGCATCCAACTTCAGCTCAGGTCATGATCTCACGGTTCATGGGTTTGAGCCCTGCATCAGGCTCTGTGCTGGCAACTCAGAGGCTGGAGCCTGCTTCAAATTCTATGTCTCCCTCCCTCTCTGCCCCTCCCCCACTCATACTCTGGCTCTCTCACTCAAAAATAAATAAAAACATTAAAAAAATTTTTTACCGTAAGATCGATAAATTTGACTCCTTTAAAATTCCCAGTTCCTTTCTCTTTATTGAAAGAGGAACAAACGGTTTATCGTCATTAAACAAAAAGGCAAACCACAGAGTAGAGAATATATTCGCAGCATGAACTGACAAAGGACTTCAATTTAGAATACAGAAAGATCTCTTTAAGAAAAGAATCAGATGAAAAATGGACAGAAGATTCCCAAATGAAGACATCAAAACATAAGTGTAATGAAAGGTGTTCAGCCTCACTAGTTATCAGGTAAATGCCTGGCACAGGCGTACCTCGGAGGTGGTGTGGGCTTAGCTCCAGACCAGCACAATTACATTGCAAAATGGCAAGTCAAATGAATTTGTTGGTTTCCCTGAGTATATATGAGTTATGTTTACATTCCTACTATAGTCTGCACTATAGTATTTCTAAAAAAACAGGGAGCATCCCTTAATTAGAAACACTTTATTGCTGGGGCGCCTGGGTGGCTTAGTCGGTTAAGCGTCCGACTTTCGCTTAGGTCATGATCTCGTGGTTCGTGGGTTCGAGCCCCGCGTCGGGCTCTGTGCTGACTGCCAGCTCAGAGCCTGGAGCCTCTTTCAGAGTCTGTCGCTCCCTCTCTCTCTGACCCTCCCCTGCTCATGCTGTCTCTCTCTCTCTCTCTCTCTCCTAGAAATAAATAAAACATTAAAAAAAAAAAAGAAAAAGAAACGCTTTATTGCTAAAAGGTGTTAAGCATCCTCCGAGCTTCAGTGAGTCATAAAGGTTTTGCTGGCGGAGGGTCCCGCCTCCATGTCGATGGTCACTGACTGATCAGGGCAGCGGCCACTGGAGGCTGGGGTGGCCTTAGCCATGCCCTGAACATAGGACAACAATAATATTTGCTACAATTGACTCTTGTTTTCACAAACGATTTCTCTGTAATATGTGATGCCCTCTTACCCACAGAAGAACTTCATTCAGAATTGCAGTCGGTCCTCTCACACCTTGCCATGGCCTTGTCAGCTAAGTGTATGTCACAATCCTTTCCTTCAATAATCTCCACAGTGTCTTCACCCGGAAAACATGCCATGCCAGGAAACTCCCTTCTTTGCTCCTCCGTAAGAGGCAGCCCCTCACCGTTCAGGTTTTATCGCTAGATTGCAGCTGTTTGTCACATCTTCAGGCTCTGCTTCTAAGTCTAGTTCTCTGGCTGTCCCCCCCCCCCCCATCTGCAGGTGCTTCCTCCGCTGAACCCTTGAACCCCTCAGAGTCCTCCGGGAGGTTGGAGCCCACTTCCCCAAATTCCTGTTCATGTTGATATTTTCACATCTTCCCGTGAATCACACATGTTCTTAATAGCGTCTAGAATAGTGAATTCTTTTCAGAGCGTTTTCAGTTTACTTTGCCCAGATCCCAGTAGAGGAATCCCTAGCCTTATAGAATGTGTTTGTTAAATCATAAGACTTAAAGTAAGAACAAGGTTTTGGTGCACGGGCTGCAGAATGGGTGCTGGCTTGGCAGGCACGGCTGCACAATCGTCTCTTTGTACAGCTCTGTGCCGCCCTGGGCGGCTGTGTGCCTTGTCACTGAGCAGTCACGTGTTGAAAGGCATCTTTTTTCTGAGGAGTAGGTCTCAGCAGTGGTCTTAAAATACTCAGTAAGCCATGTTGTAAACAGATCTGCGCTGTGTTACTGTACTGTCCCAGCACAGGAAGAGTAGATTTAGCGTCATTCTTAAGGGCCCCAGCATTTTTGGACTAGTAAATAAACATGGGTTTCAACTTAAAGTCACCAGCTGCACTGGCGTCTAACGAGAGTCAGCCCGTCCTTTGAGGCTTTGAAGCCAGGCATTGACTTCATTCGAGCTAAAAGGTTCTAGGTGGCATCTTCTTCCAAAGGAAGACCTCTTGTTCCGGGTCACGACCTTCATGAATTAACGTGGTCAGATCTTCCAGTAGCTCGTTACAGCTTCTGTGTCAGCACTTGAGGCTCCACGTCGCACTCCTTTGTTCTAGAGATGGCTTCTTAACCCTCATGAACCAACTCTGCTGGCTTCAGACTTCTCTTCTGCAGCTTCCTCACTGCTCTCAGCCTTCCTAGAATTGAAGAGAGCTAAGGCCTTGCTCTAGATTAGCCTTTGGTGTCAGGGAATGTTGTGGCTGGTTCGATTTTCTAGCCGGAGCACT